CGAGGCTTTGCCATAATCACACACGCACTTCTAGCTTCAGATTACAATTTCTTACCAGAATGAGGTTTTAGAATTGCATTAAACGCAAATGAGAAGGGGAAAGTATTAAGTCAAAGTTCACTGACTTAGAAATAGAGTTAAGATTCCTAAATAGCGTGCGTTTGCCTTTTGGCTACGTCTCTCTAACTGCTACTACGCTCGGCCGTATTAAGTGCCTTTAGATAAGATTCGCTAGCTAATTTAATATTATGAGCCAAATAGTTTAGAATTTGTGTTAGATTCGGCTAAATCTCTTAGTCATTAGTTTGTTCTTATTTCTTGCATTTTTGAGTTTAAACCCAAGTGGAGTCTTTGTTGTACGCCTGAGAAAAGGGCCATCTGTGAATCTTTATTTTGAGCAATGAAGGCTAATTAACCCTTCTTGGCTTTAAGTTTTTGTTTTTAAGCGATCATTCGCTTAGTAGTTCACTAGGTTCTTCGACACTTAGTTTAGTAGGATTGTAAGGATTATGTTAATTTTATTAACAGTTAAATTTTAAGTTCCTTTCCTATCAAATTCTTAACTTCAACTTACTACTTCCGGCCAGAACGTAGTTTTGGAATCTTGCTGAATATTTAATGAGGAGGAGCGGTATTTAAACCACGAAGTTACTTACTGAGTTAGAGAGAATCAGAGTTTCTGATTTACGCGCGTCTGCATTTTTCGCCACTCTCTCTCTCAAAGCTGTTATTACGCTCAGCCGTACTCAGGCCCTTGCTAAGCTTCGTAGTCAAATAAGTTAAGATGTCAGCTCGATTTGAAACTTGATAGCTTCTGCTATACTTCTTTAGTTAATCTTAGTTTTAGTTTAATTCTTAGTCTTTTAAGTTCAAGTCCAAGTGCGGGCTTTGCTTGTACACTCCCAGGCGGAGTTTTGTTAAATCTTATTGGAATAATAAAGGATTAGTTACCTTTCTATCTTTTTGTTTCTTGTCACCGAACTCAAGCGATTATTCGCTTATCAATTCTTAGATTCTTCACTTCCAACATTAACTTAGAAATTCCAAAGTGAGGAACTCTACAGGATAAAAGTGAGGAACATTACAAAGTATAAACTAAAATATAAACCACTGCATAAAATTCACAAAGAATTCACAATGCACAGATTAATCGTAAATTACTTTAGATTTAATTCTTGTAAGTATTAAATTTTGTAGTGATAAAATACAGCAATCCAATGGTAGAGTAAGTATAATAATAAATATTACCATAATATGTATTTCTGCAGAAATCAGATTTTGTTATATTTCAAATCCGAGCAGATTTGCTAAAATAATACTAACTATTGCATTGGGAGTGCCAAGGTTTTACACTGCAAAAGAAAATAATTTCAAAATTAACACGATTTGGGAACGTTATCAAGAACTGTAAAATAAAAGAAACAATACAAGATTATACGATAATCAAGACCAAAACAAAATAAAAGATGAAAAATGATGAAAATAAAAATAGTGAATCGAAACAGAACAGCCAGTGTCAAACAGCTACACTTCAGATGAGCAAAACGATTAGTAGTTATCAAAATCATAACACATGCACAAATCAAGCACAAATAAAAATGTGTGATACTCCGGAATTAGAGAAAGTGAAAATTGATTATATGCAGGCATTAGAGTTTTTCGAAGCAGGAAATGGGAAAAGTCAATAATGCCCTGTCCAGGAATAGAATTAGGAATCTTTCAGTTGATAGCGAAACGTCCTACCACTGTTACCATGAGTGCGCACATGGAGAAATGCGATGATTTTTCATTTCACTTTCACTGCCGCGTCACCCTTATTCAGGTGACAGCAAAAATTCTGATTAGTCCGCGTCATCCGTATTCGGGTGACAGTTCTTTGAGTATTTACGAGATAAAGTAGATATTTAGGAAAAAAAAATCTGAAATGTTTCAGATTTTAAATTACGTCCAAAGTGGCGTTTTTTTAACATTTTGTGTGTTACCTTTATTTATTAAAATCACGTTCTTCGCACTTAAACCATAAAATTCAGTTCAAGAACTATATCGCAAAATAATTTTAAATTGAGCATATCTACAATTTCCGATACACAGTCTCACGCGCTGGAGATAAAAATGTTTTTTCTGTACAACGTTGCCATTGCTCGCTTTGAAATCCTTGAGTTTGTTAATCAGAAATTCGTTAGTTTTACAAAATATGAAATTGATAATAAAACAAATTCCAAATTTGGATTCCAGATGCCCATATTCGCAGTAGAATTACGTCATTCAAAATTTGATGGCTCTAGGTACCGTTGTTTTATCACAATGCGAGAAACAAACATATATTTATGCAGATTCTTCATTATTTAATTTCTTCAAATATAATGCAGAGCGATAATATTTGGTGGCAACAGTTTGAAAAGTGATACAGCCATTTGAGGATTTCAACTCAAAATGGCAAAAAACAAAAACAATAGTTCCTCAGCGACAAAGCCCCTTTGCACTTTAAAAAAAAAAAAAAAAAAAAAGGTGCTGAAAGAAATAAAAAGGAAATGATTGTTACCGACAGCTTAAATTTATTCCGTTTACTAAACTGAATTGTGAATTGTTCTTCGGTATTAACTTTATCAGTATTCGAATCAGAATCTGAAGATATAATTTTGTTTATAATTATCTTTCTGAAAAATCTCGACTTTTCCTTATCATTACTATTCGAATTTTTTTAAGCTTTGCAACAGGTTTCTTCTTCCTGCCATCCGATTCACTTAAAAATTACTCTTCCAGTTTTCTTTTAGACAACTCGAAACGTTGGGGCAACACTTTTAACACAAAAAAATTTCAACCATTTGTCACTACAGGAAAAATATTTGGAAAAGAAGAAATAATTTTCGAATTTCACGCACTTTCTCAGATACTTCGTTCTTCAGGAAAGATTTCAAACTGAAAGTATGTTCCAAAATGTTTCGTTCTAGATGTTCTAAACTCCTACGATCGGAAACAATTCACGCATAGTATAGCAGCGTTCATGGCCATAAGGAGATTTTCTTACAAAGTCGCGTGGCAGTTAAAGTGTTAAAAGGGCGAGTGGGAAGAAGCACGAGACCCAGTCAACTAAATTCAGGCTGCAATAAATATTGTCCACCTAATTTTAATTCAGGCGCCATTGTGGAGACGATTAGGTTTTTTTGAAAGAAGAAACAGGAAAATCAATAATGTCCTTATAGGAATTCAAACTACGGATATTCCATTTGATATCTCAATATGCTTCGCTTACATCACAAGAGAACACACAAGAAAATATGATAATTCCTTATCGTCCATTAACAGGTGTCTTGGAGAGTCGACCAAATCTGAGTAGTGAAAATTATTGTCCACTACGTTTTATATTGGCCGCCATTATAGAGACATTTAGAATTTTTGAAGCTAGAAAGATGCTACTGGAATTCTCTTCCAACTCTTATCTGGACGTGCAAACATCACAACAGTAAGCACGGAGTACTGCGTTCATTCTTCATAATTTGAAAAAAAAATTAGAAAAAATCTGTCAAAAAAATGAAAGTCTCATAACGTTTTAGAGACGTCACATATAGAGAAGAATATATGGCGGTATAAATTCTTAAAATAGTAATAATGGTTGTAATTCTTTATATACTTAATACGTGGAATCTCTATACGGTGGAATAACTATGATAAACAGAAAGGAATAAATGTAGTTTCTTGCCGCTGAGGGTTAAGTTACTAGACGCAATTTAGTTTTAACAAGATTTTTCATGTTGTTTGCATTTGTCAAAGGAGAGATAATGAAGCATAAAGGAGTAAGGCAGTTTCCATCCATCCGAAATACTGCAGGAATTAAAAAACACGTAAGGCTACTTTTTTCTGAAAAGTAAAAGCAGAAACTATTAGTGATAGAACTGTGTATACTATTTTATAATATGAGATTCAGGAAATGTTTCAGTCCATAATTCTTTCACGTTCTTAAATGTTATAATAATTTAGTTTGATAAGTAATTGAAATTTTTAAAAAAAGGCAAATAACTTGTATCTTTAGAAGAGCTGTAATAGAAATGTATTTTTAGTAGTATTTGGTTTAATTAGTAACGGATATTTCCATTTGTTCAGCTCATTATTGCTATTTTTTTAAAATTTGGAATCACGAAACATCTTACTCTTATCTCATTTTCTTTCTAATGAAAGATAAAATCGTGAACTACCCTTTCTGCTTAATTATAGTGATATATTTTATTGATTGCAAAATACATCTACGCTTACTATATATACATGTAAATACATATTTAAAGTTATATAAAGCTAATATTTACTGAGCGAGCGGGAGAAAATTTCTGATGTATGTTCATAAGGCAACTATTTAGTCATAAATAATTACAAAGTTATGTTTTTACTGTTCGATATAGAAAAAAAAAGAGATACACTTTTCCATTTATACTGCTTTAGTAATTTAACTTTATTGGAAATGAAAGCACGTGTATTTTTAATTTCCTCAGTAAAAATTAAATCTATGATTGTCTTATTAACGTTTTTCTCGTCTTCCGTCTCAATAGTTGATCCACTCCAGAAGTTCAAAGAAAATGTTAGTTAAACGAACGTGAAGTTTAAATCGAGATTATTTTTAATTAAAAGTTCTTATTTGCTAAGATTATTTCCTAGTTAAAGGACTCCCCTAGCCCCCGCTTTGGCTAAGAATTTCTGAATGGTTTGTTAGTAACGTATTGAATTTATATAATCAGAGCTAGACTTTATCCAGATATTTGTGGATAAATTATTAAACTGTAATTGTCAACTATTTTAGGCCAAGTAAATGTAACCGTCCGCTAGCTACAAGCTTTTCAGTTTGTTTTAAGTTATAAACCTCAAGCAGTGGCACTAAGAAAAAATATTTGTTATTTAAACTGTACTGCAAGTCTTTTTTTTATAACTCATCTTGATACTAAGTGTAAGTTGGTCGTTAGGGTTGAGTCATATGACAAGTATAATTTTAAGTTAGTATTAAAAAACCAAGATAATTTTTAAAAATAGCTTTATTTTTTACATAGATTTTAATTCATAAAATTTAGTCAAATAAGTTTATTTTCTTACATATTTCACATAAATATCAAAGCTCAATCTGTAATTACAACCTATCGATATAGTAAAAAGGATTCAAAAGTAAACTTAATAGAAAATCCGTAGTTATAAATCTTCAAACAGCAGCATGTGTAAATACACACTTTCACTTTAAAGAGCAATATTTATACATTATTGTGTGTATGTGTGCAGTAGTTTAATATAGAATACTATATAGTATGTATATGTATGATGCTTATAAAAGAGAAAGATGTTAAGTGTGTAATAATGTTCGCATGCAAAAATCTCCTTAAATTTGGAAGTACATAACCAATTATTTGTTTTATTTATTTATATTTTAAGTTAAACTCAGAATATTATCTTCTTAATGTTTTCCCCTTGCATCTAAACCATGGATGCACAGGTGTAAAATTCAAAAGTTGCATTGCTTAAAAAATAATTGCATACATATACACATTTTATAATAGACTGGCTTTGATGCAATTTACTTTTTTATATTTTGTGTAATGATTTGAAATAATGAGTTCCCTTAAAAATAATTTCTTTCTATTTCTCTTGCATATATACCATATTAAATTTTCACTTCTTGTATAAAAGACTGATAGAAGAAATAGGAAGGAATATAATACAAATTTAAAAAATACTAATTTTTACTGAAAGAGATGAAAAATTTACGAAGAAGTCTGCTAAAATATTCTCTTTTTGTATACATCTCATCCAAGGTTTCTTGTTTAGGCTGTTAGAATTTAAATTCTCCAGAACAGAGTCTCCAGTTCACCTTAACGATGTTAAGTTAGTAAGTCTTTATCTGCATCTTATTACGTTGCCTCAGTTTAGAACTAACATGTACTTTAGCTTATTCTACAAGGGAAAGAAGCTAAGAAATCTATGTAAAAAGTACATTTTGTCTACCTTACACGTTTTAGTTCCTTACAGTTTATGAAATAAATATATACTTGATCTATCCTGATTTCCTAATTTAAGGCATTTTTAGAATAAATATAAAAAGCAGAGGAATAAAATAAAATTCACAATTGTAAATATTTTATAGCAATTATTTTCATGCATACATTAGACTGAACAAAGAAATACTATATCTAGTACTCACTATAAACACCTATTTAAAACATATAAGTATATATATATATTTATTTTATAAAAATTATAGAATGCAAGCTTCTATTATATATTTTGTTTGTTCTCTTGTTTCTTAGAGGCCCACCAGCGGCCGAATGGGAAAGTAGCTGAATACTGGTAATTTGGTCCAGGTTCGAATTTCTAGCTTATGAGAAATTTATATATTCAGAAATTCTTCGTTAAAAAGTAAGGCTTCTTCCTCAGAAAGGATTACGTGCACATTTTCACTTACAAGTAAGAAAGAAAATAATACAAATAATATTTTCTTACTAGTAGAGACTAAAAAGATAAATTATGGGCAATAGTAACGAGATATTTCTATTTACACATAATTTCTACTTGCTATTTGCTATATTACAGATTTCTACTGCTAATTAGATATATATTCTAAAAGTAATAAAAGTCAATGCTAAAATGTACTTTAAGTGATGTAATTAAAGTTACTTGTGCAAATTGTGAAAAGGTTGTGATAAAAAAATTGTTATTTAGATACCATGCTTTTAAAGAACATTAATTGAGACTTCAAAGAAATGTCTTTAAAAGATTTCAGCATATAACGTCTTACAGGTTATTTTATGGAAGAATCAGTACAGCATTTTGCTACAATGACAGATACATCTGTTCTAAGCTGAATTTCTAAAAAACTATATTTATAGGGAAAAGATTTTCAACAGTTTTTTCACTTGTGTGGTATAAAAGTAGTTACTGGAGTTCGTGTTCTGTACAGTTATTACAAATTAGCTTAGTCGTGAAGGGAAGATGATGATCGCTTGGATGTGAATATAATTACATAGTTAGCTTCTCAGAGATCGTTTTTTAATCCTTTACCCATTTTAGGAAAAGGAAAATAATAAAACAACTTAATAAAAGAGGACATGTTTTGGAAAATGAAGCTGAATTACAAGCATCTTCCGAACAACTTTGGAGGCAGCCGCTTACATAACGATCTCCAAAGTAAAATCCTCCACAGTGACTCATTCTCACAATTTCTGTGTCGATGGTCAGAGTTCCACTGTCTAGGGCACATCCTCGGATAATCATTTTTTCACCAGTATCCTCTAAAAGAAAAGTAAAGGACATTAATTTCCATTTTAATAACATGCTTGATCAAGAAAGGTAAATCAGTGCCATTGATATAAATATGTATTTATTCTTCTGTTATGTTAGCGTTTTGACCATAGATTAATATTTTTTTTTTTTGAAAATGTCGTTAATGACAGATGACGAAAGCTGGTCAACTGATATTTTTTTTCTGCGTGTTTTTTAAAAATCTAACCTATTTTTTTTTAGTAATAGGTTCAAATATTTTAATTTCAAGCATCATTATTTCAACAATTTTAATATTATGTATAAGTATCAAATAATTTAATTTTAAGTATCATAACTATTAATGACGACTAGTTTTAGAACCACGCAAGCTACCTGATTTCCAAATGGGGTAATTCATTTTTTGAGATTTTGTATCAGGACTCAGACTCGAATACAGAAGACCGTTTTGCAACAAGTTACGCTGTGGTTTATTTCACTTGTTTAACCGTAACATCAGATAAAATTCACGAATTTTATCGCGGAGGAGTTTCATTGGCGAGGAACTCAGGAATGTGTTTGGGCACCTCATGATTGGCAGATAGTACGACTTCACTCAGTTTGGCACAAGGCACTTTTTTTTTTTTTTTTTTTTTTTTTTTTTTTTTTTTGAGGGAAGACCGTCCCCGAGGTCGACGGTAATACCGGTCGGCAATCAAACTCAGGACTTGGATTTCCTAAAATTACGAAAGATGAACTTACAGCATCGTTAAAATCAAGGGACTAATAGGTAGTATATCTCTACATTTGCATCTACGTGATATGTTAGAATTTGTTAAGTCCAGAAAATAAGTCTTAAAATGTATTGTTAAACATTTTGAAGCTAACCGCGAGTCTCAAATCGAGTTTATTATCTACCGAGAAGAGCGCACTTCTAATCATTAAGTGAAAATGCGTTTCTAAGCTCTGAATATGTTGTAAACATTTATGCAGGATTTTCTGAACTTAAAAGTAGCTATTTTACAAGTTTACGTAGATTTTTACTACTAGGAAGTAGTTAATTTACGAAGATCTTTTAGTTTACTAGAAAGAAAGTTTAGTAATTTACTAGAAAGAAAGTTTAGTACTAGAAAGATTTAGATTTCGCTAGAACGCTAATATAGATTCTATTGCCACGCCTTTCTGAAACACATGCCTTTAAAATTTTATTAGGAGAAAAAAGTTAGAGCCTGACTTTAATGTTATTAAAATGCTCAGCGCTAGAAAATACATTGATTTATTTTAACAGACCCTTTGTATGAAAACAAACTTGCCATATACACATGCGGGCCGGAAAAAAAGTGGAACTGTATATATTTATTGTACGATAAAAGGGCGAGTCTTTAGAAAGCTCATCCATGAACTAATATGTTCTCTTTTCGAATTCCAGTTCTTTAAAAAGCATTCGATCCGTCAGCGAATTTCGTTTTTCGTTATTTAGTTATTTATTTACTAACAGAGACAGCAAAATTTCCTGCGTTTTTACGCAATATTCTTCGAAAGAACGAAGAAAGACATTCAACATACTCTTTTGAAGGAATAACAGAAACGCGATGTCAAAAAAAAAAAAAAAAAAAAAAAAAACCTACGTATTCGTCTCTTCACGGTTTTTTTAGGAGAAGCTTTACATCTTGCTGAGAATATTTCTGTCATCAAATAAAAGCGGTTTTGAAAATAATCTGCAAATCCTTCCTCTAGAAATCCTCCCACTCAATAAAACTCGCGCTTTATTCAGCTTAAAATCTCATAACACAATGAATATTTAAAACTATATTATATTTATAAAAAATGCTTATGAAACATAATATATTGTAAGGTTTTTTTTTAACTAACAAGTTATTTCATATTAACATATTTCTGTATCTTCTATTGTTAGACGAAATCTAAATTGGGTTTTAGCGTTTTAAATACTTGTATTACACTGAAACTCCGCAAGTAGCGGTGAATAGTTTTGTTAACTTTCAGCTTAATTTGTATGATTAGTAGCCAGTAAGATTAATCAGTAATTAATGACTAATAAATTTATGCTTAGTAGTAATAAATCTCAATTTGAGTTTTATCTAATGTGTGCTATTTAATCACTAGTAAATTTCAAAAACGGTAGCTTTTCGGAGCAAGATTAAGTTAAATACGTTAAAGACAGAGAAGTTTTCTCAGAACTGTGCACTATAATTCAGATTTTTAGCTCGATTCCCTTAAGTTTCTATTCAAAATATGAAAGGAAAGTAGTCTGAAAAATTTCCAAGAAGGAAACCATTAAGGAAAACATGTTAAAGTGATGACTTCAATTTTTAGTTTAAAATTTTAGTTTAAAATCAATGTCTATGCATGCTAACCGCCTATAAAACGACACAGTGAAATGATCCTTAAAATGAGATAAATCATCCTGGTCCCTATTTCTGGAAATGGAAGGAGATTGTTGTGTGCTTTACTTTAGATTTTCCCCTTGGATATAAAATTCCAATCTTCCTAAGTCCTACTAAGTTGAATGGCTTGCTATGGACCGAATGGCTTGCTATGGACCGAATGGCTAAAGCTTGTAGAACACTTGTAGTTTGCCTTGGACTAGATACGCGCTGAGTGAATGGAGTAGGTGACTGGGATTTCGTGGTTTCGTCAGCTTGTGACAATTTAGTTTTAGTATAACTAACAAGTTATTTTAATTTGTATATTTACTGCCCTTTCTCACTTCAATCAGGCAACTCATTCTTTCCACACAATTCTGCAAATTTTAAGTGGCAAATGTAGGTGTATAACGGAACAGTACAACGACCGAATACGCGAAAGCGTTCGGAGTATTGAATTAGCTGCTGGTTACATACTGATGATAAATCTGGCCGCTGTAGAAGAGTCCAGCGAAATAGTTATCCAAACGGTAAGCTGCAAACGAATTTTTAAACACGTAATTATCCGATAGAAAAATTGTGATTTCTATTAAATTAAATTGAATTGTTAGTTATTTGAGCTTAAAAATTTATTTTATAACTAAAGTATTTAAGTCAAGTAGACTATTGCTTTGTAATGTTTTAATTTAGAACCTCAAGTAGAGGCTTATGAAAACTAGTTTGATTTTATTCAGTGTTTCTGTCTGAATGAATTTTGCACTTCCTTCCCTTCAAAAAACCACGCGGTAAGAGATCTAATAAAACTTATTAGAACTCACACATAGCTGTACATAATTTTGTTATACGAGAGTATTTCAAATATAAACAGGTGTCATAACAAAAAACTCAAAAAGCAAATAAATTTCCCTTAGAAATTCACCCAAGAAAGTATCCATTACCTTGAGACCCTAAAGGATCATATTATAAATTATTAAGCCAATCTAATCGACAGCTGAATGCCTTGACTGTTATCCTTGAATGCCTTAAAGACTGTAGTTTTCTTATTAGAAATATTGGATACGAATTCATAAAACATCTAACATTTTTAAACTTTGTATAAAGTATTTTTTTCATAACAATTCTTTTGACAACAGGAACAGGTAAACGAGCCTTTTATTGCTAAGATTATTCTACACGCATAATTCTACTGCTGGCTTATTAGATATGACAAGCAAAGTATCTTATCTTCGTTTAACTTAATTTAGTTGTTTATTTATCTGCTGCCTCATGCATTTTAATCCTTAACATTAATATTCTTTTTCAGCTACAAGCATTGAGATTAAAATATGCTCCGTTCAGATTTCAAATCCTTCAGTATTTGAAAAGATTATGGGTCAACTATATATCCCCCCTTCCGTACTTATATGCGTTCGTCATTTCATTTGGGATGCCGACAGAGAGGGAGCGTACGCAATTTAGTACAGAAGGTCTCTTTGCCTGACGGTTAGACACAATTGCCAGTTGTCTGGAAACAACTCATAAGACTGCTCATATTCTACTGTGGAATCTACAAATTTATTTCCGTTCAAGAAATGCCTTCGTGGTGGGAATGCTAAATTTTTCTCCACGTTGAGATTCCAGTGTGTTCATATTGTATTCTGACTTGCTTTCAACCATCCTAATAACAACATGTATATGCGTCTGGTAAACCACATTGAAAGGGAGATTTCAAGCAAAGTTTGCAGTAATATGTCATATGTCTAGGGCTGTAATTGAAGTGATACTTCAGTTTGAGCTCTACAATATTACTAGACAACTAGCGAGTTATCGCTACATCTTAAAATGGTATAATGGAGACTGGCGAATGTTTAAACAAACTTTTTATTAAACTGTAATAGAAAATGGCAAGACTTGTGCTACATGTAGAACTTATTGCGATGTAAATTGAACAATATCAGGTACTTAATTTTAAATGTTGATAAGAGTAGTCTAATATAAAGCTATAAGTTATTTAACTACATATTATTAGCTCTAATAAATAAGCTATACAGCCAGATAATCTTATCACTTCTAATAAATAAACTGCAAAGTAAAATATGTTACAAGCTGGCAAAAGTAACTTTACCGGCTCCTAGGTTTAATAAAATCGGTTGCAAGAGAATGCAAAGCCGAGATAATTGCATTTAGATGGAGCTGGCAAAAGTCTATCAGAGCCATGCGAGTGCCAGAAGCTCTCTCTGTCATAAATCCAAAAACCCTTGGGGTTAAATACACTTAAAGATAATTTGCATTCTGTTAAGGAATACGGTAGGAAAAAGTTAAAGTAAAGATCAAAATCATACTAGTTACTTAACATATGGATCTTATAAAAGAATTAGCGTTGACTCTTTGTTAATGCCTTAACTTTATTTAATCAGAGAGAAAAATGGCTGCATGTGGAATCACCTTTTCAAATGCAGGCCTGAGGAGTTGATGTTAATGCAGTGTAAAATTTGCGTCTAATTAAATTGGTTTATGAAGTTCGGATTAATTTAACTTTTAGACCTATGAGTATAGCTAAAACTAAAACAGCACCATTATTCTAAGTATAAGTAAAGCATATTGTGAAACTCATCTATTATGCTATATAATTTTGTTAGCAACAAAATCTCCCAGTTTCTCTCTACATAAATTTTTCAGCTCCATGCCTTTTTAGTTTTCTCCATATAGTTATTTTTCTCTATCAGTAGCGACTTCAGTATTTTTTTAAATCTCCTGCTGTTTTACATCTCATAAAATTATTGAATGAAATTCTGACAAAATTAAACTAAGCAAAATCAACTACGGAGTCAAAGCTGGTTCTAATAACTAAGAAAATCAATTTACAGAGTCAAAATAAACTGTACGTTGTAAATAAAATAAAAGTATATTCGAATTTTTTATTGTCGCAATATTATTCCAAATTTTCTATCAAATATTTGAGCTTTCGACCTCACTAGCTATGAGGCAGGAGAAATAAAGTTGCGTAAAAGGTTCGGGTAATAGTTTAACCCAGATATGCCTTTAAAAAATAATGATAACTACGAGGAGCAAATTGGTTTTTATCAAGTTCCTTTTTTAGAAACTGCATGTTATTTAATGGAAAATAATATAAATGGAGTGCTAAATGCATTTTATGATATAACTCCTTCAAAGATTTGAAAACGTGATTAAGACTTATCTATCATACCATACACTCCAGAAAGTTTGATACAAGCTGTGGCGGGAAAAACTCCATCTCTTTGTTTTCTTCCGGCCCAACATGGAGCCTCGAGTATGTCTGTAGTATAATTATTATGGAAGGGATCTTCACAGGGTTGATTATCTCCGCCCACAGAAACACATTTAAAGCAATCCAAACAGTAGCAACCTGAAATGAAAAAAAACATTGTTCACTATAAATTCAGTTGCAAGGTGATTTTCAAAACAAAAATATAAAACAAAAATAAAAAATGTAAAGGTTATACAGGCAGTTTATGAAAGTCTTATCCAGTCATATCCCAATCAATTCAACCAGTGAAGTCAAATCCAAAATCAAGAAGTGAAAGTTATTAGATGCTTCTTGCTTCGGAAGCACAGAGGTTAAAATTAACCTGAATAAGTGAATGTATTTAAAAATGACTTTCGTTGAGAATTTTGATCTCGTTCCAGTCTCACTTTTCTTGGAAAGAGTTAAGTGAAAATTAGAAGTTTGTGTAAAAACAGCGCTTAAGCAAATGTCCATTCCCTTATTTTTAAGCAGGATATAAATGAGCATTCGATATACCCCGTGATCACAAAACTCCATATTCGACATTTAATTTTCATAACTGTTAGTCGTAAGTATATACTTTTAGTTACAAAAATGTTTTAAATGAAGCAAGTATTTACGTCTTGACATTTTTAAATTTATAGACATCAATTTTGTAAATATTGCAAAATCTAACTTTTTATACATTCCCCCGGTCAATATGCTACAGCTTAATTTTTCTCTCATTAAATGCCATTAAGTAATTTTGTTATGATTTACTAGTATCTTTAATTTATAATCTTACATTTGGTCTGCTGAAAGAATTTTCACAGAAGTAATTTATAAATTTTAAGACTAAAAATTCGATGTTAGTATTTTTATGAAGTTTTTTACTTTAGAATCATAATATGGTAATCGTGAAAAGTTATTAAAGTAAAAATATTTTTATTTAATGCCTATAATATTACGGGTTGGCTACGTACCAATGCTGAACCTTGTCAGTGCTCTAGAATATGAATTTTATAAGATTCTATGAATAAGATGTCCATTTTGAAAAAGGAAAGTTATACTGGTCAATATGTTGCAACAATCTGTATTAAATTGTTCGTTGTTTAATCTTTTAATATTAGAAAATTTTCTATGAACTATATTTTAATTTTTGTTACGTAGAGATGCAAATATTTCGCTCTTCAATTTGTGTACGGTTCCTGAATATGATTTCCAATTTTAATATCAAATATGTCGGATAATTTTTATCGTACACGAATCATGCTTTTTGTGTTTTACTTTTTATAGCGAGTACAACATTTTCCTATCTATAAGTATAGAAACCGGGAAAACGTATAAAAATTTAGTAATTTTTCAATATATTTGCGTCATGTAAAGCATTTTTATATTGAAAGTATATGCCTACGACCAACGATTGAAAAAATAAATGCCCGGTAAGGATTTTAGTAGACACGGTATAGATTAACATGAATTAGATATTCAGACATTAACGCTTAATCAGCAGTTGTCTGGACGTTGGAAAAAATATTTAGGTATTCAGAATCTCCTTTTATTTTCACAGCTTCACTTCGTCTTCGTTAAACCTTGTCTCTCTTTTAGGAATACCCTTACACTATTTGATCTAGAAAGGTTCCTAACTGAACTTTCTTTAAATTCGAGAGGATAAAATTTCTAATCGCTTAAGCCATTCGTGGCTAATGACTTTTATCTCGTAATGCTATAAACTTGGTTTATGATGTTTAAAAAGAGCAAATTTGGTAAACTTTCCTGTAATTTTTCATAGACAATAAAAAGACTCTGTGGGAGGTCTTATGCATTTTTTTCCCCTTACTTTGCTTTTACTCAAATAAAGAAAGTTGCTATAAGTCTAGATTCAGACTCCAGGCGCCCCAAACCAAACTTTATAAAAATTTAACTATACTTCTTTCCCTCTTTTCCTTCATTTTATTTTATTCAAAATGTTTGCTGTCCGTTTTTTCATTAAGAAGAAACTACTGATAATTATTAAAAAACTGTGTATAAAGTAAAGCGCTTAAAGTTTTTAAGGTTCCTGAAGAAACAAAATTTTTTAAAAAATGCTGGTAAATTCCTCAAGACTTGGAGAAATATGTATGCTTATGATGAAAAAAATGAATTTACCTGAATTGTCATTTATATAATTTTTAAATTCATAAAGAGTACAGTAACAGAATATATAGCTATGCGATTAGAAGAAAACTTACATTTAAGCTTCGTAAATTAAAAACATAATAATATGCACAAACGCATCTTCTATTTATGATACATAAAACAGTCCTGTTCAGTTTATTACAATCTTTAGACCTGTTCAAATAATTCTGTTTTTATTTATTAAAGCAATAAGAAATTCCTACAACTTGCAGCACTGCAGTTATTGAGAGGCACTATAAGAAACAGTGACACAGACTTGAGCAAAAATAAACACATTCTTCTTTCTGATCACCTACTGTTTATTGGCATTTTATACATTTAAAAGTTTTGTTCCAGCAGTGAAATAATTGCATTTATTTTTCATTTTTACTGAATTTTAACTCATGAAATATTTAAAAAATTATTTTACCGATCATTTCGATTTATTTTTCTTAAAACACGTTTTTTTCTAAAATTCGTTTGTAATCGACAATCTAGTTGTTATTAACTAGTGATTTAAACCAAAAATAAATGAAGTAAAAAACAAAAAATAACATGAAAGAAGAGAAATCCAATTAACTCCGATATAACATCGTCAGGAGGAGGATACACTGAACTTTCAATTACAGTTCTTATTCCATAAGAAAATCCTTGTTCTTCTCTGTCCAGAATTAACTGATGAACCATTTCAATGTATTTTTTAATATTGACAGTTCACCTGAAAACTCTGGTCCTCCCCAAAAACAAGGAAAAACAAAGCAAACATACCAAGTAAAATCCATAAATGGAAGATTTTTCCTCATGACAACGTTATATCGGGGTTAATTGGATTCCTCTTCTTTCATGTTCTTTTTTATTTTTGTATCCCAAAGGGCGTTAGCCCAGAAGGGCTATTAATTTCGTTTTGGCATTTTGCGTCGAAAACGTTAAAGTTGTTAATCACCTTTCAAATTATCGCCCTGTATTATATTTAAAGATATTAAATAATGAAGAATCTGCATAAATGAATGTAAATTTCTCCCATTGTGATAAAACAACGGTATTTAGAGCCAACGTTAAGTATCCACCCGAATATGGGCATCTGGAAGCCAAAATTTGGAATTTGGAATTTGTTTTATTTATCTATTTCATATTCATTTATGAGTTTTTGATTAAGAAACTCAACGATTTCAAAGCGAGCAATGGCGACACTATAAGAAAAAAAAATATCTCCAGCGCACGAGACTGCGTATCAGAAACTCTAAAGATATGCTCTTTTAAAATTATTTTGCGATATTCTTGTTAAATTTAATTCTATGGTTTAAGTGCGAAGAACATGATATTTAATAAATAAAAGTAACACACAAAACGTTAAAAAAACGCCCCTTTGGAAGTAATATAAAATCTGAAAGTTTTCAGATTTTTTATAATTTATTTATTTTTGGTTTTTCTTGTGATGATTTATTTTAATTTTTTCTTTTAACATTTATAGAATTCTTATTCTACATTTAAAGGATTTATTGATTAACAATTTCAATGTTTGGTCTTTGCGAAAAATTATTTCTAAAATTCTTTCTTTTTGTATTTACTGATCAATTTCAGAGGCATAATGCGCGAAAAGACTTAGAAATGATTATATATTTTTCTGTATAAAAATGTTTTGTGTTTCTGTAATATATATATATATATTCCGAATTATGACTCTTTTTACTCCATAAAACAATGAAACAAAAATAAAATTTCACATTATAATCACAAGTTTGTGTTAATTAGGTGAGTAAAACAGTTTTTATTCACAGTCGCAATTACCTAATAACCAAAGTAGAAGTGTTCCACATTTAAGTTTCTTTACTTTCCTCGTAGTTAGAATTGCTCAGTTGTCCATTATTATACGCCTACATCCATTAACAGAATTATTTTTCGAGTAATTGAAGCTCACAAACACAGTTTTCATGACAACGCTACTGAAAATGCTCTACTTTTTCTAGAGAAACATAGATTTAGCTCAGGCAGAATAAATGTATTGTTTCGCCCATCACATGATTTAAACGCCCTTTGCTTTTCAAGAGCGGATATTTAAGCTTAAGTAATCTTACAGTTGCGCCTATCCCTTTTTTAAATACATATTCATAATAAAATAAAATTTAATTCCTCCAACACCTGACTACTCGTTAAAGCAAAGATTATGCAAGTTTAGATAAAATAGCGGATTGATCATATGTTATACTGTGGTTGGTTGATCGGTTCCGTTTTCTTTAAAGCGACGTACTCCCATCTAAACGAAGTACTTCGTTTGATATAAAATTCAAATTTTACGTCAGATTCAGTTCAAACGAAACTTTAAAAAAGTACTGGGAACAATGTTGCCAGATCCTGCGATTTTTTTACAAAGTTGCTGCTTTGACAAACCTGTGCTACTGAAATTTTAATGCATGTGATTTTGCAAAATATTTGCGACTCCATGATTTTTATGCTACCTTTCGATACTTCAAAGATTTTTTAATTTATCGTTAAACGCTTATATGTTAAAATAAGTATAAAAATGTATAATAATAATAATAATAATAACATATATAAGTATAATAATGTATTGTATGATGTATAATATATATATATAAGTATAATAATGTGTAAAGTATAATAATAATTATTATTGTGTCTATTAAAATTAATTTGTAAAAAATCTGTTTGTTTAGGCTTAAGCAAATGTTAGTATCTGGCAATCCTAAAATCAAAGAGCAGGTGCAAATATTTTTCAGTGCTAGTGGCTGATGTTTTCATGTGTTTGACTAATTGCTTTGCTTAATCTTTCGGTGATCTGTGGGCAGGCGTGGAAAATGTATATGTGATTATAGCTGCTGTGCTAATGAAAGTGTGAACTATGAGTGGCACTGAAAAGTTCAACACCACCTTTGAAAGGACTTGGCTTAAAATACCTCGGTTTGAGAACTGACTCTAAAGAATGAAAACAGGCAAGACTTGAGCTTTTTGCGTAAATTTGTGTA